CACACACACACACACACACACACACACACACACACACACACACACACACACACACACACACACACACACACACACTTCTACAATGCTGCGCCCGCTTTTACACACACACACACACACACACACATCTGCTGAAGCAGCTCATGCAGCATCTACAGCAGCTGCTGCAGTAGTAACTGATGCAGCGAATGTAGCTGCTGTATTTGGTGCACTCAAACCTAATCTCACACACACACACACGCGCACACACACACACACACACACACACACACACACACACACACACACACACACACACACACACACACACACACACACACACACCTGTTGCTGCCCACTATGCCCCCCCCCCGGGGACTTGAATGGCTGAAATGGCCCCGGTACCGGCCACACGAGGACGTGTTTGGCAGCCCCTCTTTTTCTTTTTTTTTTTGTTCCCGCTCGAGCGTCCGAACAGGTTCGGTGTGCTACGCAGCTACTTAGTTTACTGCCCGCTGAACCTGTGCTTCATTGCACTTGCGTTGCTATTTCGCCAGTCGTTGTGGGCAAGTGAAAATGCACGGCGTCTAGTTTTTTTTTCTGTATGACCCACTTCTGGTCAGCAGTCCGTTGAATTCATCTGCTGTTGTACTATCTGCAATGCAGTTCGTTCTCTGCTGTTGACTTTGTCCTGCCTGTCATACTCTGTGGTGAGGAACTTAACGTTGATGCTGTTACTACAGATCAGATCTGCTGACAGTAACTTCTCAATTGACGGATGCCATCAACATCCAACAGATGGATAACCTTTCACAGAATATGTCCACCCTTCTTTTTTTGTTTTCTTTAAAATGGAGTTAGACCCTAACATTATGGAATCCATCAGAATTTGAACTCTTGGTCAAAGCTGTTGGTCAACAGTGGCATATGTGGACCATTCAGACATCCAATGTTGTCGCCCTGTCAGCAATCAGATCGGTAAGTACTAAGTAGCCTTCTGCGGAGGTCGTGTTTACTTAACCTTGTCACCAATGACCATGGTTAAGCCAACACTGCACCATGGTGAAGCCAAGAATTGCATTGTCAATGACCATGGTAATTAGCATTCATTATTCTTACCTTGTCAAGAATGACCATGGTTAAGCTGACACTGCAGCAGCATGGTTAAGCCAAGAAATCACGTGATGGCCCTTCTTTTTGTGGTGGGAGGGGTTGGGATGATGGTTATTGTATTGTGGGTGTCTTCAGGAGAGAGAACGTGAGAGAAGAAAGAAGGAGGAGTTGCGGGACCTGGAAGGCCAGGCAATTCTTCAAAGGATTGAGAAGCTGAAAGAGGAAGACCTTCGAATAGCCATGGAGAAACGCGAGGCTGGTGCCAAGCTCCTGGCGGAGGTGGCCCGGGCCAATGCGGAACAGATTGCGGAGAAGAAGAGACAAGCAAAGGCGGAAAAGGAACAGGACGCAAGGATTGTCCGATACTTGACGGAGAAGGAAAGACAGGAACAGCAGTATGCTGATGAGCAGGAGAGGTTGAAGAAAGAGAAAGAGAGGGAAGTGGCTCGGCTGCGTGGACTGCAAGAGAAGGCAAAGGACAAACAGGCAGAGCTGGATGAACTGCGAGCTCAAAGAATCCAGGAGCAGAAGGAGAGAGAGTGGCGGCAAAAAGAGCGAATGGAAGCTGAGGCGACCCGTGCCATGCATGAAGATCTGGCCCGCGCACGCGAGCAGCAGCAAATTCTGAAGCTGAAGCGAATGGCAGAGCAAGCACAGATAGAGCAGAAGGAATTTGAGCACATTGTGCGCGTCCAGAGGCAGATTGAAGAGCAGGAAAGGCTCGCCCGTGAGGCTCAACGAAAGAAGAACTTGGAGCACAAAGCATCCTTGATTCAGCACATCAAAGGCCGTGAGGAGAGGCGGAAAAAGGAGAGGCAGGAGTATTTGCGCGAAGGTGAGAGGATCAGACAGAAGTATCAGGAAGAGAGGCTGAAGCTAGAAGCAATTAAGCTCCAGAAGTTGAAAGAGCTGGAGGCCGAGGGTGTTCCCGCAAAGTATCGTGCAGAACTTGAAAGGAAGAGGGTAACTGCCCTCATGATGGGGAAAACCTGATGATAGTACACACTCAACCTAGCCTCCTTACTGTAGGTGGAAGGTAATTTTTTTGTAAACATAAGAGCAATTTTCCATTTGGCATTAGTTGGCCGACGTTCATTTCTTTATCTACAAATGCTAAAATTGCCTCCTGCTTCCAAGCAGTTTCTTTCTGTGGTAGAGCAATCCAACAACTGCACTCCACGAGCATGAGATGAGGTCAGGGGACCATAGGTGAAGAGGACCATAGGTGAAGAGGACCATAGGTGAAAACACTGAAAACAGTGAAAAGGCCATAGGACCGGACAGGGTAGGGCAGGAACGGAGAACAAACCAGCAGCGGAAATAACAAGGAAAGCCGAGGAAAGGCGCAGAGGTTCCAGGAAGACATTGTCAGTGGAGGCTTTCTTAACTGCTTCACAGCTTCTGTGATTATGGGATATGGCAGTGTGGTCACCTCAAGCCCTCAACTGTAAGGTGAAGGTGCAACTTCTTCTAGGGGAGGTCTGGGGGTTAATGCACACTGCGTTTATAAAATTTAGGTTCGTTATTGGCGGTTGTCCTGTGCTTTTTCTGGTGTGCTATTCAAAAACTTCAAATCCCAATCCAGCCCAGCAAGGATCAAGCTGATGTAAAACCACCGTTTCCCGCCCAGCTACTCATGAGGATGCGCCAGTTAACACGGTGCCAGAGAAAGGCTCAGCCTACTGGACCGAAAAAGGCTGGCAGAACCTGGTAGACTCTTGCCCAAGAGGGTTTGGTGGTACTTAAGCGACAACCAGTACTTGGAGACTTCCTTTTGCCGAAGCGGATTCCTCCTTGTGTGCCAAAAAAAAGAGACGGCGCGTTTCTTTTTTCCCTGGTGCCGCCAGCCATTTTTATCAGGCATGCACAGCCGCATCGCAGAAAAATATATGGGAAAAGTACTGATGGTTTAAGCCGTGATTTAAACCATGCACCAGAAGGCGAATCACTATTCATTGAAGTCCAGGGCTAGGGGGCTGGGGTTGTTTCTGAGGTGGGTTTGTCAGAATAGTTATCAAATCTCAAGTCTAGCCCATGAAGTCAGATGATAACCCAGAAAGTCCAGGGCTAGGGGGTTGGGGTTGTTTCTGAGGTGGGTTTTTGTCAGAATAGTTATCAAAGCTCAACTCTAGCCCATGAAGTCCGATGATAACCCATAATTAACCACTCATAATGGTCATGAAACCCACTTCAACTGTGACTGTAGTTCTCACACAAGACAGCATCAGCTAGCACACCTTGCTGCTGGTGATCCCCCTGCCCCCATCCCCGCTACCAACGGTAAGCAGCTTTGAAGGCAATAAAAGGGTGTTTGAAACTGAAGTTGGAAACATAGCTGTGTTTGAAACTGAAGTTGGAAAAGGCATGAGTGTTTGAAACTGTTCCACTGTACCCCACTTACACCCCATTCTACAGAATGAAAACACGATAATTCTAGAACTAGGTCTTGCTGGTGCTGTCCTCCGGGGCATATCTGTTGATTGGAATATAGAGAGAAGATTTACCATGCCCCCTGTGCAAGGATGGGGCATACAAGATCGAGAAGTAAGTGTTCATTTGTAAAAAAACAGAAGAAGGTCTCACTCACGTTAGTGTGTCTAGGTTCATGCTTTCTTAGGCACAAAATAGCCAACCAAAAGGGCGTGGCCCTCAGACATGCGCAGGCAAATCTAACACACTCAAATTCTTACCAGGATTTGATAACAATCTTGGACATTGTTAGGTAAGATAAGTACATTACCAAACAGCAAAGGTGTAATTCCCCCTTTGGTCTTTCACAGAAGGTCAATCCGTGACTACCCGAACTTGAAACAGTAGTTGGCAGCTACGTTTTGAACGATCAGTACTTTTCCCATCCATTTTGTTTCCACTCGGCCATTAAACTACCAGTACTTCAAGGCCTCTCTTTCCCGAGGCTGGAAATGCCCTGTGCACCAACAAAAAACGAACCGGAGTGGGCCTCCTTTTGGCTGGCACCACCAGCCATTTTGCTCCGGCACCCGACCCCCGAAAGTTGCAGCGTGCATGCAGCTGCGTCGGAGAAAAATGGCTGGGAAACATACTGGTGGTTTAATGTTGCCGCGTCCTTTGGGACCCAGCCTACCAGACCGAAGTGGCTGGTGGCGCCAGGCAAAAACAAAAACAAAAAAAAAGCACCTGCACCATTTTTTTATTGATGCGCAACTCAAATCTGTGTCAGGAAAAAGAGGCCAAGACCAGGCCGAGTCCCACATGCACTGGGTTCCCGGTTATCTAGGTTTTTGGTCCCTGGCCATTGATCTTCATAACTGATGGTGAGAAAGACAAAATCTGGGTAAGTAGGACCTTGGCCCAGGGCCTAACTTGCAGTGCAATCGGGCAGGCTAACGGGAAAGATGCCGTGGTACCCTACTGGGACTGGCCTAGTGTCATACCGGTCCAGGGACAGAGCGGTGCCTGGACCGGTAGGCCCGGCGGACGTCCAGGTTGTCCCCTGGTCCGCCGTTATATCTTTGTGCATCTTGGTTCATTATTTCTCTTTGGCACCCAACCAGTTCCTCCGGACTCTTGGTTCCCAGCTGCTGTGTCATGCTTGCTCGTGTGATCCCTTTATGTCCATGCCCTCACCACCATCGTCCTCCGTTACCTTCATCTCCTCGTTGCCTGCATGTGCACCCATTCACCCGTCGCACGTGTGCTATGCTGGTATTAGAGCGAGGTTGACGGATCTGTGACTCCCTCCCACCCGCTCACAGGCTTCTCGTCCTTCCATCTGCCATGTGGCCGTCCTTGCTGTCATGAATTTGTGGCCAGTTCTGCTTCTCCACTCATGTATGGTCATCATTCGAGGTCGAAGTGCTACAAGGTTGCAACTTGGCATTCCACCTACCTCCATAATCTGGGGGGCGTGCCGCAGTCCACTGAGCATGTGGCCCACGTACAGCATCGTTGTATATAAATACAATGCCCATGGTGCGTTATAGTTGTTTGCAACGTGTGGGTGTTGTATTCAGGTGTGTATTGGTAGCAACTTTGGTGAGGCCCCAGCCCAATATCAAAAAAATATATATATATCAAAAGATTATGGAAAAGAAAAATTGTTGTGAGAGTTGCAATGGAATCTGAATCCAGCGGCCTGCAAGTGGCATTCAGGAGGTCTTGGGTTCAACCCCCAATGGCCTCATGCACCTTGCTGGGCAAGCTTGGCGCCCGCCACCTAGAGATATGCCGTTGGTCCCCCCGAGTGGCATTGAGCAGAGACTGCTGATGTTCATAGGGGAGGGGAGGCACAGTGACTGGCCCATCGAAGAAGCTCGGTCCTGATGCTACCGGCTGACCCCTGGCTGGTATCGCCCACCTGCTGTAGCAGGTATCGCACCTGCTGGTGGGTGCAGCTCCCGCATGTTCCGTCGTTGGAGGCTTGAGCACGGATGTGGCTGCTACGGGGTTCCCCGTAATACTATAATGACAATGAAAAAAGACCTGAAAGGCCGTCCTGTCCAGATTTGACAGGTAATTGAATTGTTTGGGATTCAAAGAATTAGTCTTAAAAAAAAAAAAATTAAAAAAAAAATTAAAAAAAAACAATGGAATCTGCAATTTTATTTTATTTTTCTAAAAACCACCATGACCTTTCGCAGCCGAACTTCTGTGACAAATTGGTTTACATCTGCATTCTTTGGGGCTCGTCCTCGCGGACCTCTTTGGCTGGCCGCACTTGCCAAAAAGAAAAAAGTATTGGGCCCCGCCGTTTCATTTTGGAATTGGCGCACAGGCAGCGCAGCGCAAATTCGCCTCAGGAAAAAGAGGCTCGAGGGTAGTGGTGGTTTGAAAAGCAATGGCCTTGAGACTTTGTTCTTGTGTCTGAGGGTGCCGGTTCGAGGCCGTGCGTGCGCAGCAGGGCCTGAAGCCCTAAAGCACAGATCAGAATCTACTGTGAAGGCGCCCTGGAACCCGTGGGAAGATTGTCCGTGCGTTGGTGGCCGGCGTGCTGTTGGAGTGAAGTGTGCGTGAATCTCCGTGTCTGTGGGGTGTTGTGTGTATTGGACACTCCCACGGTTGTCGCCCCCCGGCACTGGACCCCCGGCCGGGGTTCGGGGGCACCAGGGGTGGGACCCCCATTCCCCGCGGGGAGGGGGTCGAAAATGACGGGAAAAAGATAAAAAAAATAAAACTAAAAACATGGGCGGGTGCGCAACAGCGAGCGAACGTCATTTTTCGTAATTCTGGGATTCCTGGGGGTCTGGCGGGGGCGGGGCCGCAGACGTGCCTGGGCCAGTCAG